AGAGCTCAAGAAAGACTTCAATCTGATTGTCTTTGAAACAGGTATAGAATATCAACGACTATGCAGGGGTCATCACCATGGAAACCATAGTATAAATTAGGAAATCATCTTTACTGCAGGATATATGTACATATATACGAAACAGCCACCATATAAAATGTCTCTAAAAACAGTCAAAGAAATAACTGCTCAAATACAATAGATTAGATAAATTCATTGTTATGCAAATTACCATTACAGTTTTATGCAACAACAAAATACATATATTTTTAAAACTATGGTGTTCATAGGGCATGCTATCTGTAAATCAAATCTGACAAAAACACCTTTGACCTAGAAACTACCAAATGTCTCCATGTCAGACCTGTAATATAATACCAATATTTGAATATTTTTTTTGTTTCCTGACGACAATGAAAAGCAATTTAATTATCGCCTGAAGTGAATTGGTTAAAATAAAAATTACCCAAAAAATAATTTTAAAATAAATTATAAGCATCACAAAATGTCATTTTCATGTTCATTTTACATTTCTTTTTTTCTTTGATGAATTCATTTTTATTCAATTTTAAAAATAGATATGTATTCCGCAATTTCTATTTTGTAGACAGAAAATGAAATATCTGTATTGAATATACAATTTCTGAAATGAAGCCAACTCAATGAATTCTGGGATATGTTTTCCCTGAGTCATGTTTATTTCACCTTCTCTGTTCATATGTCTGTATAATCAGTTAGAAACAGATTTTGTGGGAGGCAACTTCCCTGCCAATATAACAATAAGCAACCACTTAAGTATACAAAGCTCTCAATCAGAAAGGGCCCCCTAGCCCACTAGAGGTGTACACAAGTGCTGAAAGGCACTAGAGGGCGCACTCTCATTTCAGTCACTTATGCAGACATTTTCTTACAAAATATTTCGGTCAGTTTGCAAGACAATTACATTTATGTTTCAAGATTTTTTAACAGAATCATAACGGTCAGCAAGTCTCCAAAATGTATAATAAAGTAGAAACGGTAGTTCTTTTTTTGAAATTTGTCATGGCCCTGAAAAGGGCCGTTTGGTTTGAGTTTCCTTAGAAAGGATTCAAGCAAATTATTATTGCTCGTATATGACTCAATCCGGAATTTGTCAAACCAGAAATAATTTTACGTACTTTAACCCCTGACATTTTAGTTCATTTTGAGTTCACATGTTTGCGGTGGGGAAATCCTAATTTAAACGAGTCCTCACTGTCGATTTTTATTATTTCTGGTTTATTTGTCACGTTATAAGCAATAAATTATTTTGGCTATACTTGTAAAGTTGCATATTGTTTATTTCCATTGCATGTTCCCTGTCGCAGTTCGATCTGCATGTTGTCAATATTCGTGAATTTTCGTTTTTTTTGCAAATGCCCACCCCTATTTTTTGACAATTTTCCTTGTTCAGAATACTGGGCGCTAACCCGGACAACTACGGTATACAACAGGCATTCAGTTGACAAATAACTGTGATTTCAAGTATATTCATGCGCGATATTCAGGGAAATGAATGAACATATTGACTTGGCTACAACTACATTGAAATGTCGTTGTACAATTTGAATATGTATACACAAAAGTCAATCCAATACATACAGGAAACACATAATACAAAACTAAATCAAGACAACTTGAAAATGGATTTCCTCCACCCAGTTTACTTACATTTTTGGCTCAAAATTCTTCATATGATCATGATTGAGATATGGCCTGCAAATAAAAAAAGAAAGTACACACTTTGAACTTATGGACCTGTATGGAAGGTGATTGAGCTAATATGATGAGCATTACAAGGTTGCAACAAGGAAGTTTACTATCATAATAACAAATAATTTACATAATATAATTTTGTATTTTGAGTTCATCACAAATATTATGTCATTGTTAAAAGTGGCATTAAAGGAATAGACAGTTTGAAAAACGATTTTGCAAAACACTGATCATATTCAAGATATTTCAGGCATTAATGATAAATACTTATGAATGTTACTCTCTAAAGGCCACATTTTTTCTCGCCAAAATTAAACATTTTAATGTATTTTTCTAAAATTTGTTTATGAACACACATAATTTCCCATTGTTACAGGTATTGATGAACATTTTAGAAGAAAATAGCAAAAAAACTGTGCACTTTGAGTAATCAACTCAACTCAACTCACCCTCCCAGTTCTCTGTGGTCCATCCCCACCGGACTCGGCACGGGATGTACTGGCATGTTGTTGTAGGGAAACCGTATTCTTTCCCCAGGCCCGTCCAGTTCGGCTATTTGTTATGAGACACACAACCAGAAGAAAATTATAAATATGTAACACTATGTTCTTCACGCTCTTCTTGAAAAGAGCGGACGCTGCACAACGCTCCTTCTTTTGAGGTTATTTTCGTCTATACATCTGTTGTTTCTGTTAATTTCTGTAGATAAAAAAAAAATATTTCAAAGGTTAAACAAAACTTAAATTTCTCATATTCATTTAAAGTAGAGAATATTTTTTTAACAGTAATGCATTGTAACTTTATTGTACAAAAATTCATGATGTAATTGACACAGTTATCTTTCATTTGTGAAGCCTAGGGTAAGGTTATTGCAGTTACCCTGTCTGTCTGTCTGCGTGTGTGTGTCTTGTGGTACTGATGTTGTGATGAATTCAATTTAACTTTAAGTCAACAGGACCTACATTGTGACGACCCTCACTATTTTTGAATTTAAGTCAAGTTTGCATAGCTTAGGTTTAGTAAAGGAGGAAGGTATGGTTCAATTTATATTAATATTAACATAAGTGTACCATACTTTCCCCCTTTACTAAACTTAAGCTTCGCAAACATTTCTATGTTATGTCACGGGATATTCAACTTTTATTCAATTAATCTTAATTAAACTGCAATTCTACATTGAATTACATTGTAATTGAGTATAATTTGACTGAAATTAAAACGCAACCCTATATAGAAATGCATTTTAATCAAGTTCATATCGGCTGAGATAGTGATAGACACATTTCAATTAAAGAACTGAAGATATCATTAGAAAATTAACAATATGTATAGTATGTATAGCAATCAAACTTGCTGTTTCCAACAAGAAGTAAAAAATATCACTTTTTACCAAAAATGACAAAAATATTCACCAAAATTAGAGAATTGAGAATATCATCATGAAATGAACAAATCTGAGAGAGGTCCACATGTAGTATCTATATATATGTAATATCAAAGCAATCGAATTTGCTGTTTTCAGCAAGAAGTCAAAAATATCACTTTTTACCAAAAATGACAAAAATATTCACCAAAATTAGAGAATTGACAATATCATCATGAAATGAACAAATCTAAGAGCGGTCTACCCTAGGTACATACACACCAAGTATCAGAGCATACAGGCTTGTAGTTTTCAAGAAGAAGTCGAAAAAGTAAAACATTGACACAGACGACGAACAATCTCTCATATAATAAGCTCCGCTCGACAAAGTCGACAGCGGAGGCAAAAACTTAAAAAATATTACAAGGAAGAGTAATTCCGTCAATTTTGAAAACCATCGGCAGACGTAACTGTGCTTAGACGTCACTCTTAATTAGAATTAATTAGCATATTATTCCGTAGTTCTGTGAAATCATGTGATAAATAGGTTATTACCTGATATCACTTACACAGAACTAGTTGATATGGTGTCATACACCTTTGGTTTGTAAATTATACTAGTTTTATGAACTTGTGATATCAGACAATTAAACCATGAGTTACATTTTGTCAACTTTCACAAAATTAAACTCTCGAATTTTTGTTTTCAATATATCTTTGAACAAGCCATGCATGGCACAGTCCCCGTTAGTTATCAGTGCCCGTTTTCGGACTGTGTCTGAAAAGGGGACTAAAACGTCAGTGGAAAATTATGCCAATGTAACCCAAAGTTAATAGAAAAAAACAAATATATAAAAAGACATTTTGGTGAGTAAATGTAAGGCAGTCCAAAAAAATGCATGTTTTAAGTGATAGTATATACTCTCCAGGATGGCCACATAGATTTTAAAATAAACATCAGTGCCTTTTACAAAATGCCTAAAATTGAGCTAAGAGGGCTACAAACTTAGCCACAAAAAAAATGTTAAAAGATGTTAACTTATTCGAAAAGTATAAACAGAAACTAATTCACTTTTTCAAAATACCAGCAATAAAATTTAAAATCCCCTTCCCCATGTTTTTTTTTGTTTTTTTATACAAGAATAATCTGAGCCGAATGGAATACAATACGCAATGTGTACAGCGGTGACATGATGACTAGCAGTAATCAAATCAACATTACAAAAGAACACCATATTCTGGCAGCATGACACGCCAGATGTCAGTAAAACCCTGCACCATTTTGAATCCATAATGATGGTAATTTATTCAGTTATAGTTTGTTGTTTGTAATATAAATATGATATGAAACATGTCGTCCTATGTAACATTTGAGTGTCTGAGATATGGATTTGGAAACATTGTGCAACATAAGTAACCCACTGGTATACGCGATGTTGAGATTTGGTTGAAATGTACTGTAAAATATGTTTTTTTTAGCTTGAATTAATTTTTGCTGAATAGCATTTTTGGGTGTTTTGTATGGAATTTATTTTCACTGATTGAAGTTGAATGTAAAATATAGGAAAAAAGGTATATTTGCTGGATTTTATTATCACTGAATTATTCTTAGTTAAAATAGCGAAAAATTAATTCCAAGTGAAAATAAAGTATTCTACAGTAGTCAATCCAGGCATGGCCAACATTTTGTTGACATTTTATGTTTTTAAATTTATGTATATATGCAAAACTTTATGACTTGTCGCTATGGTAGTTTGAATCAAATCATGAAACAAAATGATATGTATTAGTAACGCACCATGTGTGATGTTTATACATGTACCAAGTCTGATTACAAGCAAATCAAGAATGTCTTAGAAACAGTTGAGGACATTTCAAAATTCTGTTTTGTTTGGGGAACGAATTTCAAACAAAATCAGTATCTGCAAAGTAATTCATGTGTATGCATGGACAGTCTCAGCTTCAGGACTATAAGTAATTATAAGACGCATGATGTATGATATAGTTTTGAGACCACAGCATATTACCCACGTTACAAATATACTAACATGTGGAAAATCAAAACTTGTTTAAAGTTTTGCCAGTCTCGTTTGAAGTCTTGCTCATGTAAAAGTTCCCATTACATGCATTAAATTGAACACCTCTGTAAACTGAATAATTCTGTCATTCTATTTAGAACTTAGTTTATACAAGTAATTGTAATGAATTGTTTACTATAGACAAGCAGGGTGCCACTACTCTATAATGCTCTAGGAAGTTGTGTACTGGTAACTATTTTTCTTTTGCCATTTCCCATTTCCCACAGAATTACAGTACACGGTTGAAAAGTTTCTATCAATTGTAATAAACATTACATAGTCATGTAGAAAACAGAGAGCAAACAGCAACACCTTCCAACCCATAGAAAGGATCAAGGTGACGATGATTTGGATCACTGACTGATCTATGTCCTTTTAGAATAATGGATAAATCATTGCCACAATGTAAAGCTAACTTGTGACACCGGCTGTTATAATTACACAAAGCATGACCACAGAGGGGGATAAAAATGTGAAAAAAAAACATACAATGATGGTATACTGTAGAAATGTCACTTAAAGTAAGGCATCGTACCTACATATATATCACTGACATGATCCCAACATGGTCCTTACATGACTTCAGCTTTTTTCACTGATTTTCCTCTGAAACACAATGTGTGAGGGCTCACTTCAATCACATCTTTGTTCTCCCCAAGCCCTTTATTTCATCAGAAATGTGATGTTTGATTTCTTTGGAAGACAAACAAATTAGCAAGACAAAGGAAGCAAATAAAATCCTTTTCATATGCAAATCAGATGAGATGCTTGAATATTTTACTGAGATACACTATAGGATGGCAAATTACATTTATTTACATAACACTGTTATGTGCCAATCACTTCTATTGTGTTCACTGGTGTGATCATTAAGCTTAATTGTTTAACCAAATGTGTTTATATATAGACACTAGTAACACGCAAATCTGGTCAACTAACAATTTAACAATACTGGCTGTTTTTAGAGACATTTTGAGGTAGTAGGACTAGAAACTATGTTTTTTGTTTGCATCCATTTTGTAAATCTTTGCACTTGTTAACATGTGCATTTCAGACAAGAGCTTCATTATACACAGGTTGATTTGACAACATTTTCAAATTTATTTGGCGGTGTAAGTCTGTAATGATATATATACTGTAAAATACTTTATTTCAGCTAGAATTAATTTTCGCTGAAAAGACTTTAAGTGTTTTGCATGAAATTTATTTTACTGATTTTTGGTGAGTTGAATGTAAAATATGGGAAAAAAGGTATATTCACTGGATTTTATTTTCACTGAATCACCCCTCCATCGAAAATAGCGAAAATAAAGTATTTCCCAGTATACCAGGACAACATTTCACAACGACCCCAGTAAAATGTTCACTGGTACAATATGTTGACATCATACCACTCATTGAACTAAAGTAATGGGAAACATGGGAAAGTTAAAATTTTAAATCATGTAAATTTCCTTCAATTATGCATAAACTGATCTGAACATGGTTGGGGTTTATTTCATCAGATTCATTTGGTTGCGTAACTGACATACTCTTATCAATAAGAGACAAAAATAATTCAGTGTGTTTCCAAAAATTTTATTTTTTTCACTATATTCAATAGCAATATTCTTTCTACAAAGAATATACATATGCTCAGAAATACAAAATCTGAATAAGGGTTGAATGAATTTGGGTACGTTTTCCGTAATAAAAATAATTAACATATCAATAACAATTTCTATTGTTTCTTTAAAGTTGACGCATGGCATTTCTGTTGCCAAGCATGGCATTTCTGTTGCCAAGTATGACATTTCTGTTGCCAAGCATGGCATTTCTGTTGCCAAGCATGGCATTTCTGTTGCCAAGTATGGCATTTCTGTTGCCAAGCATGACATTTCTGTTGCCAAGCATGACATTTCTGTTGCCAAGCATGACATTTCTGTTGCCAAGCATGGCATTTCTGTTGCCAAGTATGGCATTTCTGTTGCCAAGCATGACATTTCTGTTGCCAAGCATGACATTTCTGTTGCCAAGCATGACATTTCTGTTGCCAAGCATGACATTTCTGTTGCCAAGCATGACATTTCTGTTGCCAAGCATGACATTTCTGTTGCCAAGCATGACATTTCTGTTGCCAAGCATGGCATTTCTGTTGCCAAGTATGGCATTTCTGTTGCCAAGCATGACATTTCTGTTGCCAAGTATGGCATTTCTGTTGCCAAGCATGACATTTCTGTTGCCAAGCATGACATTTCTGTTGCCAAGCATGACATTTCTGTTGCCAAGCATGACATTTCTGTTGCCAAGTATGGCATTTCTGTTGCCAAGCATGGTAAATCTGACATGCTTAAAAAGACTAGGAGAAAACACTGAGCTGCCTTAACAGATATCCCAATATTATGGATTTATAAAACAAATGATTAAGTGTAGAGTTCTTCAAACATCAGTAAAGAACTGATACAGAAAAACAAATGAACATCTAAACAGTGTTCTTAAGGATACATGAATGTACCAATAAAAACAGATATGACCAGAGTAGCACTCGAACAAAGGTCATGACCTCAGAACAAACGCTGATAAATATGGCGGTAAAGAACAATACAATGCATTGTCAATTTAAAATTACTTTGAAACACCATGCATCAGTATTCTGTTTGTTACCCTCATTGGTAAGAATATGTTTTTCCAGTTAATGAAATGCACAATGTTCTTAGTTTTCAGCACTATTACTTCATGAAATCTTATCATAGTTTGAACTGTGAAAAGGGTGATTATGTCAACACACAGTGCTCTTAAAATCTACAGAACAAGCCCCACTGTTTATTTTAGCAGATAGTGTGGATGAGGACTAGTATTAAACACATTTAAAGCTTATTCTTAAGAAAGTATGACTGCATTTGCTATAATTAGGAGTGTACATGAACTAAATACACTTATACAGCATTTATTGTAAACTGGATTATTAAAATAACTTTAACCATAGACACACCTCTGTTGTTTCCATAAACACATACGCTATAAATACATGGAGTAGAGCAAAGACAGTATTAATTCTTCATTGTCGTCATAAGTGGTCCTCAGCAAAACAAAAACGATAAATTTTTTGGCAAAATATAGTGAACACTGTGAACACTTCAATATCATTAATAAATCTGCAGAAATTTGCACTAACATGTATGATTATTCAAAGGGTTAAAGTGGTTTACAATTGCACAATGCACATGGTAAATCACGAATTGCACTCCTGTCCTATGTGAGGTTTAACCCAGTATTTAATCCTCCCAACATATGTCAGCAGTACGGTATTGGGCCTACGTAAGATTTAAGTCTGTGAATATCATTTGTCTGATGCAACATTTCTACTCATATCTCACTAATTAATGCACATTTTGGCATAGACTTTACTCTTATTGATAACATCTTCATGATAAAAAAAAAAAATCAGGAAAAATACAAGTTTACAGAATCAGGAGCTAAATATAATATTGTTAACATTCACAAAGAACACAGACATACATTTTCTTTCTAAATTGTATTTTTAAATTTTCATCAGAATTTTTCTATTCTTTCTTTCAAATACTATTTTAAGTGACTATGCACAATAACCAGAGCATGATTTTTTTTTTCTTGGTCTTATCCTAGAAATGGACAACAGCTTGGAAGGTTGTTTGTGTATATTACACATATGTAGCTGGTACAAACAGGTACAAATTTATAGGGTCAATACACTTTGCTCACTGGTTACATCCACTAGCAATGATAGACTGAGTTATGATTTAGCATTTTGTGAGCAAAATGTGACAGCAACTCTTACAAGCTTATTGCAGACAGCAGTAATGTAACATATGGTTATTATAGCCATACTGCAAAGTATACTTTAAGACATTATAACAAGAATATCAATCACCTGATATCAAGGGTCACAGTGACCCATCAGATCATAACATACAAATGTACGGTATTTGTTCTATTAGTAATGCATGCATTTAATGTAAATGACAGGTGTGTCTATGGTCAAAACAAGACATCTATTAATATGGACTAGAATAAGTGTACAACTATTGGTTTACATTGTGCCTTAATAGAGCAAATATTATACCATATTATTATATTCCTGAAATATGCCAACCATCTTTGAAATTTTTCATAACGATTCCTTATTTCAAATTCACATATTCTAATAGGTTGCAAATGCCATACATGGCATGCCGTTATATATGCTGCCAATAATTTTTAAATAAATGGAACCCCTCTCAGACAATTTGTCAGACTAAGGTTATTTTTCAACATCAGTTGTGCATGACCTCAGCCATTATGCCCCCGAATCAATGATTTTTACGACTTGAATAACTCTTAAATTACAAGTCATTGAAAATGACACAGTCCACGTTA